AAACTTGTTGATATCTTGGCTGCCCATTTCGATGTTGTTGCTCGTTGCCAGGTATTTATTAATCCGTTCTAATTTTTATTGTTAAGTTCATAAGTTGTTTCTCATTGTTGATTTCCTAAGAATTGTAGTATGTGCCTCATACTTATTTTGTATATTATTACAATTCTATGGTGCTGGGGGAGTGCTCTTTTTATCATCCATACATCATGATTATTCTAAATCATAAAAAATGTTAGAATTGAACATCTAAATCATGATTATTCTTAACTTCAAAATGTTAGAATTATGCAAAATACCCTACAAAAATGATTCTGCGATGCAAACTCTATTGAATAAACAACTTTAGTGAATTGCTTCATCAATGGGGAATAACTACAATGGTGAGCTGAAGCAGTTTAAGTTAAAACAACACTGTTTATTTATGGTAAAGGGTGGGGCGCATCTGGTGTGCTTTGATGTTTCTGTTTTGGTCTCTTTTCTATCTCAACTTACTGTAAGGGGTCTCATTTCTTGATGTATTCTTTTCTCGCATCCTATTAATAAAACTATTTTATCGATAAAAAAAAAAAAAAGGATTTCAGCTTAATTTAGTACTATCCAACAATTTGTCAGAATGCGAAAGTGTCTACTATGATCATTAGAATCTACCAACTACATGATAATCAAACTTTATACAGTAACTAGTATTTTGGTTTTCTACTGCCTTTTGGTAAGAGTTGGAATCAGGAATTAGGAACAGAAATCTGTCAAGAGTTTTGATATAGCTAATTTAAGGTGTAGTCAAACTTTTTTTCTTTTTCTTTGAATGGTTGATCATCCTTTGAGAGTTAAGGTATAAGATGAAGCTTACTTAGTACAAAGCCAAAAGTAAAGCTTTGTGGATTATCTTGGATGTATGTCGACCAGTTGTTTTAGGTTGTAATTGGTTGTAATTGGTTGTGGATAAGAAGTATTTTAGTAAGGAAAAAATACGTTTGTTCTACAATTATTTTCTCATAATCTAATTATACTTCTTACCATTTTATTATTTATTTTTCTCTTCCAATAAAGTTACAAAGCCAAACACACACTCAGTAAATGTTTGCTCCCTTCTCATAAGACACTTTAATGACCACTAGTAATGCATGATTTTATGTTTTAGGTATATTTAGGCAAACGGGGCTGATTACGGTGGCTCCTCCCTATACTAAAATTTAAAAGAAATAAAATACTACAAAGATTATCCCTCAGTCTCTCTTTTACTTAACATATATCAAAATTACAAAGAGAGACCATAATAAAGAAACCCTTTCTGACAATCAAATAAGATTCTTAAGCAATCCTTCTTGTTCACCTATGGTGGGTCCAAGCTTGGGTCTAGTCCCTCCGGAGTAGGTGATAAACTTCTTTCGTAGAGTTTACTGCCAAATGGGCCTGAGTTCTGTCTTGTTTCTAACGTTATGGCCTGGGCCTGGTTGGTTTCTGCTTGCCCATTCCCTTGGTGTTCGGCTGAGTGCAGTTTAGTGCTCCTACTCTCCTTTCTTTGTTTAAATGTGTGCCGTCTCTTGGGAGTTTCCCAGTCAACATCTTTTTCAGCACCTATAGTTCCCTTATCATCTCTGCTATATGTTGTTGCTATTGTTTTTCCAAAAGAAAAGTATCAGAATCATATAAAAATGTTATGAAGTTATGATGGTGAGCATTTGAGGTGTACCTTTTTGTCTCTGGATTATCTATTGTTTATTCCGCCCAAATAATAGTAGGAAAAAGGGGGCTGGGAGAGTTAGGTGCATACATATACTTGTTCTGCTCTTTTATGTAGCTCTGATCCTTTTATTACTAACTTTTAGGGTGGAGCAAATGCTGGGCACACCATCTACAATGCCGAGGGAAAGAAGTTCGCTCTTCACCTTGTTCCCTCAGGAATCCTTAATGAGGAAACCCTGTGTGTTATTGGTAATGGCGTTGTGGTGCATCTACCAGGATTGTTTGCAGAAATTGATGGTCTTGAGTCAAATAGTGTCTCTTGTAAGGGACGGATATTAGTATCTGATCGTGCTCATTTGTTATTCGATTTCCATCAAGCTGTAGACGGTCTTAGAGAATCTGAACTTGCTAAATCCTTTATTGGGACTACAAAAAGAGGGATAGGACCTTGTTATTCGAGCAAGGTGATCCGGAATGGCATTAGAGTAGGTGATCTGAGGCATATGGATACCTTTCCCCAGAAGCTTGATCTTTTATTATCAGATGCAGCTTCCCGTTTTAAAGGGTTTAATTATAGCCCTGACATGCTTAGGGAGGAAGTTGAACGATACAAAAGATATGCAGAGCGGTTGCAGCCCTACATTGCTGATACTGTTCATGTCATAAATGATTTCATTGGTCAGAAAAAGAAGATCTTGGTTGAAGGTGGTCAGGCCACTATGTTGGATATTGATTTTGGCACTTACCCCTTTGTGACTTCTTCTAGTCCATCAGCTGGTGGCATATGTACTGGACTTGGCATTGCTCCAAGAGTTCTTGGTGATCTGATTGGAGTGGTAAGTGTAATTATTATTTTGTTTCAACTCTGTTATAGAAGGCAAAAAATGTAAATCTATGTCCAAAAATTCCTTAGAACAAGATTTTCTTTTGCAGGTAAAGGCATACACTTCAAGAGTTGGCTCTGGTCCCTTTCCAACAGAGGATTTAGGCAAGGCTGGTGATCTCCTCCGATTTGCTGGGAAGGAGTTTGGCACTACTACCGGTCGTCCTCGACGTTGTGGCTGGCTTGATGTGGTTGCATTGAAGTATTCCTGTCAAATTAATGGCTTTTCATCTCTTAATTTGACCAAGCTCGATGTTCTTTCAGAATTTTCTGAAATTAAAGTAGGAGTTTCCTACAAATGTATTGATGGTACACCAATTGAATCATTCCCGGGTGACCTTCTTACTCTAGAGCAACTAAAGGCAAGCCTTTTTATTTTAGAGTTTTTGTTTTCCAAAATCATTTTAAAATTGCAATGATTTATGTTCAAAAAAAGTCTGACAAGTGCATGTGATTTGGTGTGTGTTTAGGTTGACTATGAAGTTCTACCAGGCTGGCAGAGTGATATTTCTTCTATCAGAAGCTTTGCTGAACTTCCTCGGGCAGCTCAACAATATGTGGAGAGGATAGAAGAACTTGTTGGTGTACCTATCCATTACATTGGTGTTGGACCTGGTCGTGATGCACTTATATTGAAGTGAATCCTTGGTGAAGAATGACACTCTTTGATGACTCTGGAAAGGTCCCAATGGCTGATGAATATCACTATTGATAGACTGGGTTGCGTGCTTGAATGCATCAACCATTCTTGTTCCATTTAAAAGAACTAATCTTTTTTTTTGTTGGGGAATGCATGTCTTTGCTGTTTAAATCTTGAGAGGCAATAGTCACTTACATTTCTTATCATGAATGACAATTGCAACATGCACTGTTTACTTAACCAGAGATCACTGTTATTTTTACCCGGAAATGCTTTTCTGTATGATTATATACTCCTTTATAGGATTTTTATCTCTTGAGCAATATTTATTAACAGTGGTTATACTTATATCTGGAAAATCCTGTTTGTGGTTCTGGGTTTCAGTTAGCTGTAATCTCTCTCTCTGTCTTCCATAAAATTATGTAAACTTTTATGGTTTGTGTTTTAATAGAGAAAGGCAGAGGTATCTGTTTAATGGCATTATAGGCTTATAGCACTGCATAACTGTTACCTGTTAGGTTAATGAAAGAGTGGGTTCCTACTAAGTCATGTTGGAGAAAGTTCTGACTAAGAGTGAGTTCTTACCAAGAATCATGTTCCCAGCATTGCCTGTCAGAACCAAGCGCATCCTGTCCCAAATACAAATTGCAGTTATGTTGGTGTCCATCTTATCAGAAATCACCCAGTCCCAAGAAGCATTTTGATAAAGTTCTTTATGTAACTCAAAAAGGAAAGGGAGATAAATCTTGTATACAACTCTAACAATATAATGTGTAATTTATTTCATGCATAACCTGCACATAATTGTTAGTTGTGAACTGCTTGCACAGTTGCGCATACTGTATTCTCTACCTAATTATGATGATAGCATTACCTAAGAAAGGAGAATTCTCTACCTAAATATGAAATATGGATGATAAGAAGCAGGATCAAGTTACAAGTTACATGATTATAGATTTATAGAGCTGATGCAATGATTAATCAAGTATATGATGTGCAAGAAATCCATGGACTTAGATGTGCAAAATCATGTAAACATGATCAAAGATACCCAGACCAAAGAATCCATGTAAACATGAGCTAGAACTGCTCAAGGATAACAAAGAACATTTATGATTACAGTTCTAGTTTGTATTACCTTTTTTTCTTGCTTTAACTTCATATGTTCATTATATTCATGATTGTACTGAAACCGTTCTAAGCAATAAGGAATAATTCATAAAAAGATAAAACCCTGACATATTGTGGAAGTGATGAAATTCAAGGATTCCAATCTGAATAAATGCTTAAATGTTGAGCGTCACAAATGACAAGTGGCCACAACTTAGGGCCAGCAACATCACAAGTTTTTTTCTCTTCCACTTGATTTTTTGCATAATTAAGAGATGAAAATTATCAGGATAGAAGAATGAATAGCTACCAAATTTTCGACAAAATACTGAAATGTGCACAATGAAAACAGAGAGAAGTCTTTGGAAAAAGACATTCGTAGTGCAACTACAGAAAAGGGAAGATTCTTTACTTATCTTACCAAAGCTGAAAAAAATAATGTGACCAAGTTCAATGAATTAACTCATCCACTTTGAACAAGGTTGCATGAACGACCAAGTTCATTATTAACTAAAGTTCTAACACTACCACATATATCTGTTGTATGAACTAGTGAACGAAAGGCTATTTGTTGTTGTATTCATCATCCATGAGTATATATAACTGAACAGTGGTTGCTTATATCTGTTCAAAGTCATCATTCGATCGATCATTAATACAGTTGTTCAACAACGACGTTTGGTATCCCCTGGAGTTCCTCCTGCCGCTTCAGTAATATAATCATCTATTGCTAACTTTGATGACGATATATATTACTGAAGGGTTTGGAGGAACTCTAGGTGTCACCAAATTTATGTATATTTTTTTACATCCGCTTGGTATCCCCTAGAGTTCTTCCTGCCGCTTCAATGTTTGGAGGAACTCTAGGTGTTACCAAACATTACTTCTTGGTTCTTACTTATGCTGAGCTGAACTATGAGTTAAGTAATTTCATATCATTGCTTTTTAAGGGAATTATTTATCATATCTTTGACAGTGTGACTGACCATTTCAGTATTGTTCCATTTCCATACACTTTAAAAACCGAGGCCCATTAAATTAATACATAGGAAAAAGTCCATGGACTTTAAAAATTCAAGACCCATTAGTAACTTTACTAATGCTTCAAGGCCCACTAACAGTGCTTCATCAATCATCAGTCCCTCCTTTTCGCTTCTTCTTTCGAGGGTTTTGAATTTGAACTTCGAATCATTCCATTCTACAAACTCTTCATTGCAAATTCATAAACCCTAGAAACAGAGAGAGAGTGTGTGTGTTCTCAAAACCTAAACTCATTGCAAATTGTTAAACTAATCACTAAACCCCTTTTATTCTCTGAAAAATCTGATCATCATGGGGAGGTCAAAGAAGAAGAAGAATTCCAAAATATTACTTGACACCCCTACTTCTCAACGAAAACAACAACAACTAAACCTGTAATAACTACTCTTTCTATGTCTTCTTTTTTGGTTGTTTCGTTTTCAATTAATTTGAAACCAAGAATAATAATTGCTTGTTAATGTTTGTTTGTTTGTTTTCAGTTTTTCTAATTGTTTTGAAGGACAACGTCTTCTTGGTCTTCTCAAATCAATCCAAACTCCAAAGGTAATTCAACAAAAAAAATGTTTT